TATAGTTGAAATACAATTTCAGCAATTTCTAGTTGAAATAAAATTAATACTAGCATTATATGCAGCTGTCTTGCCAAATTCACTTCTTAATTATAATAGTTCATAACCATTCTTTTGGGTTTTCTATGTACCTAACCATGCTGTCTGAGAATAATGGCAGTTTTCTTTCTTTCTTTCCAAATCTTATACTAGTTCTTTATTTTTTGCCTTGTTTCATTGGCTGGGATCTTCAGCATGATGTTGTGGACAATGCTATAAACAGACATCCTTGAGCAGGTGGAGGGGTGGGGGGAGAACCCTAATCAAGTGATCAGTGTTAATATCACCAATAATGAAACAAATCAAAATCATGATTCACTTACTAGAATGTGATTAGAAGGACACAGCATCAATTCTGGGAGATTCCTGTCCAAGATGCATGACCTGAATGGAAATGTGAGGAAACCTCAGATAAATACAAACTGAGGGACAGCCTGCAAATAACTGGCCTGTAGTCTTTAAAAGGTTTAAGGTTAGGGCACCTGGGTGGCTCAGTCAGTAAGTGCCTTTGGCTCAGGTCATGATCCCGGGGTCCTGGGATCGAGCCCTGCATCGGGCTCCCTGTTCAGCAGGAAGCCTGCTTCTCCTCTCTCCCACTCCCCCTGCTTGTGTTCCCTCTCTCGCTGTGTCTCTCCCTGTCAAGTACATAAATGAAAAAAATAAATGAAAAAAAAAAAAGTTTCAAGGTCATGAAAGTCAGAGAACTGATGAATTGTTCTAGATTGAAGAAGACTAAAAAGACATAATGACTAAATGCAAAGAGTGACCTAAAGTGGATCCGTTTGCTCAGGGCATTATTGGGACAATTCACAAAACTTGAATGCAGTCAGAGGATTAGATGGTAATAATACATCAGGGTTAACTTCCTGATCCTGGTGGCTGTGTGAAGGTCCTTGTTTATAGGAAAACACTCTAAAGTATTTTGGAGGTAATGGGGCATCATATCAGTAACTTACTCTCAAATTGTTCAGGACAACATTTCTTTGTCCTCTCTTTGCAACTTTTCTATAATTTTACTTTGAGATTGTCTCAAAATAAAAAAGTGAAATCAAAATAATCCAGAACACTTAATTCCAGAAGGGACCGCCAGGTGGAGTCCTTAGACCAGAGAACTAGTTTTACTTGTCCCTTCTCTTTCTGGATTAAAAAAAGGGGTTTCTTTACTTTGAAAAAGGGAAGTTGTATGGATTTCCTTTGCTTCAGTACACGAACAGGGACATAAATCAAACTATAGGTGGTTTTATTCATTGTACAACATCCCTACGAAGTTGAGATTACCTTTTTAAATTTCTTTTGGGTAAGGTTTCTCAACCTCAGCACTGTTGACATTTTGGGGCTAGATAATTCTTTATTGTGGGGTCGTCCTGTGCACTGCAGGATGTTTAACAGTATCCCTGGCTTCTGCTCACTAGATGTCCCGTTGTGACAACCAAAAATATCTCCAGACATTGACAAATATCCCCTAGGAGACAGAAATCTCCAACAGGTTGAGAACCACTGTTTTTTGGCAACAGAATGTTCTCTGCTCTGAGCACTTTGGTTCCTCTTTGCTCAACAGGGAGCCTAAGAAGCATCTGATCACTCCTAGTGTGGCTGGTACATTGTGTGTGTGTGTGTGTGTGTGTGTGTGTGTGTGTGTCGGGGAAGAGTGAAACTTTGGGTGGTGGGAACTGAACCCCGGGACCCAGGATTCTGGTGGGTGCTCAGTGCTGTATCACCTAGCGGAGCTGTTCTGTGCACAGACAAACCAAAGAGCCTGGGGTGTCAGGAAAGGCCTTGGGCAACAAGCCAGGAAGGATAAGGCCTGGGCTCAAGGAAAGAAGGTAGTAGAGAAGGCTAGGGTAGGCAGAACCCAGATGCCTCCCAGCTTAATGGGCAGAACCTTAAGATGCTGGAGAATGGCCTTGGTTTCCATTATCCTTGTTTGTTCTCATTAAAATGTCCTTTCTGCTTCACTTCTCCACCTCCTTCCCTTTCTATCCTCTGATCTGAACTTCCACCCTTCACCTGCTGCCAGGGGCCCCAGCATACCTCAAGCATTCAAGCGTACAGCCTTCTTTTAAATGCAGTGGAGGGCAGTCTCCCCAAACAAGTGCGCCCTACGGCTGGTCACCTTTACGCCATGTTGCCCTTCTGGTTTCTTTAAAGTTCAATTCTTCCCCTTTCCATTATAGGTATATCTTCTGTAAAAAGTGCAGCTTCCCCCAACCCTTTCGAGAGTTACAAAGTATCAAGTCAGCAGCCCCAGGACAGGACAGCCCCAGCCACTGCAATGAGGGTCATGCACTCTGAGGCTGCCTGGTTGGCTTCTTATAGTGGCGGGTGTCCTTTGGGAATAAAAGGAATTTATTTCTGGGTCCTTTGGTGGGTGTCCTTTGGGAATAAAAGGAATTTATTTCTGATTCAGTCCCAAACATGTTAGACCATAGCTCTCAGTGGCTAAAGAGCTCCAGGGGGCTAAAATGGTGCCTTGAACCAGAGGTACTTAGCAATTGCTGGTTTTGATTCAATGTCAGTCTCATGGGGGATGTTGAACCCTTAACAATATTCTGCCCTAGTCCTGGCTACTGTCTCCCGAGCACACTAACTCATTCCTTCATTGCCTCACATTGACAGCTCCTGGTGTCATGCTCATGGTGGGTAGCTGTCAGGTTGTATGGCCTACCCCCACCTTCTGAGAGCTACACAGTGCTCCCCTCCTCTGGCTCTGAGGTTGCTGGAAAGTTCCCTGCAGCCGTGTTCTACTATATAAACTGTCTCCGTGGCCACAGCTGATGGGGCTGGATGAACACTGATACGAAGCAGGATAACCAGGGCCAAGAAGCAGATTCAGAAAGCTTACCTAGGGAGTTTGATCTGTACCAGTTTTGCTTGGGAGATGTCAGTGGTCTTGTCGTTTGTCCTAACTGGAGAGGCCAGGAGGACAGACTACAGGCAATGAGGGTCCAGGTCACATTTAATGCTGGCCCCATGGTTGCCAAGGCCCAGCTGCACCCTTCCTGAAATTCCGAGTCAACCCTGGAGTCCTAAAACAGGGCCCCTCACCCACTTTTGTTTTTCCCTAAGTCAGTTGTAGTTGGTGCATTTCCTTTATTTGTAGCCATAAAGGCTGCAAATAAATGCCAAAAATGTGCTGGATTCCCAGCAAGTACAAGCTTCTGAGCTCAAAGAGAGGCCATGGTAAAAATCCCATGCAGCACAAAAAACCGTGGGTACAGGGATTTCAGTCACTGTGAAAAGACAAGCTGTGACCTAATTAAGTCCCACTTGGCAGCTATAGGTGAAGAGGCATGTGGTCCGGGCTGCGGAGGGCGCCCCCTTGACAGGAGGCGGGCATCCCTATATCCAGCCCCACCACCCAACCGGGCTTCTGTGGCCCGAAGAAGGTCAGTTACCAAAGGACACCCTGAGCCTGGAACTCTGGGATTTCTCCCGTGACTTCATTACACGAACATTCGCTAAAGCCCGAAGACCTTCCACTTAATGACATCAAAGAGATCCAAAACCATAAATAAAGCCATTTCACACATCGGTCAACCCCCACGTTTCATCATAAAGCCATTTCACACATCAGTCAACCCCCAGGTTTCATCGTTGTGCCTTGGAAAGAAATACGGGCTTCTTTGTCATGGGATGTTAACACTTTTATTAACTTAGGGTTAACATTGTATTTGCTTTGTGAATTTATCTTTTGAAGTTGTGGATTCAAAAAACAATAGCTGAGTTCCCCCAGCTCCTAGGGGACAAGGCAAATGCATTACAGTCAAAGAGGGGAGCAGGACAAAAATGGAGAACGAGCTCGAAAAAATTTAAGGCAAATGTCACTCCCATATTGAAGGGAACTGATCAAGCAGGTCTGCATTTCAATGAAAATATATGAAATATTTGTCAAAATAATTAACATTGGTAAAAATTAGAACATGTAGCTTATAAAATGCCTACACAGGTTTGGCAGAAATAAATCCAACCGTGTTGTTAGGCTCATAGTACACAGACACAGGAGCATCCACCTTAGGAACAAGTCTCCCAGCGAGCAGAGGCCAAGTGTATTTCAAAAGCAATTCCACGAAATGGGCAGCGATAGGATTAATGACTCTTGGGCTGGGTTTCCATTTTGGGAAGAGGAATTGCTTAAGTCACTGGGGCTCCTTGTGGCTGGCCCCCGGGGATGCCTCCTGGGGACCCTCCTCAGAAGGCTCTGCGTCAGGTCGAGGTGATCATTCGGACTAGGAGACTCCTGGAGACACGACAGAACGCGGTGACAAGGTGCACTTGGCTCACCTCCAGGACAGTGCAGTGGAGAAAGGAAGGGTCTTCCCATCCAGATGTGGAATGGGACATTCTGAGACTTCGCTGCAGCTCCAGAAGTAGCTGACTGTGGAGAAATAGACGTCCTCCCCAGTGGTCATGTATTTCATGCCCACAAGTCTATCTTATTTACAGTCTGACCAGACCGTCCCCAGAGCGCTCTGTGCCCGGCGGGGGAGGAGGTGCGCCCTGGGCCGGGCATCCCACACCGGGAGCCCGGGGCCCGGGCCTGGCAGGGGAGATTCACTGAGGCTGCACGAAAGCACGGGGAGAAGAGTGATGTGTGAAGCCAAGCATCTTGCCTTTCTGCTTTGGTCTTGAAGATTCAGTAAACTTACGGTCCCAGAAGCTGCTCCAAAGCCGGAGCTGTGGATTGCTGGCATTCCTGTCGTTCCCGTTGGGGGGTCTGCCAGAAGAACGGAGCCAGCAAGCAGAGTTTGAGAGGCGACCGCTGTCTGAGGGACACCGCCTCGAGGCCCACCACCCATCTGGGCCGGGTGCTCAGGAATGCCGCAGAAGGACCCTGCTCCTGGGGAGATAAAGCTGTCGGGTGTGGGGCACCCCTGCGACAGGCTCGGGCTGACAGTCTGGAGAGGAGGCGGGTGGACGGCCGGAAAGGAGGGGCCCGGCCCTCTGCGGTCAGCTGGGTGCCCCTACCCCGCCAGGAGGCACGTGCGGCAGCAGAACTGAATGAACAGCTTCCGTTCACAGAGCCGGTTGGACTTCACCATCTCACAGAATGTCTCGTCAGCTGGGGTCCCACCAGGAAAGAGAAAGGGGGGACATGTCAGACTTTGGGGCCTGTTAAGATTGTTCCAACCATCCCCTTTCACTGGCCCCCAGGATGGACCGGGCCGGGGGCGGGGAGGGAACCGGGGGTCACAGAGAAAGTGGGGACGGCGCCAGAGTGGCCCTCACCGTCGTCCCGCGACATGCGAAGCCTGGTGTGGCAGAGGGGGCACCTAGCACGCAGGGGTTCATGCGGGGATAGACCGGGGGTGGGGGGCTGCACCAGCCGGGCCTCAGGGCTCCTGTGCACCTGTCTTTCTAGATAACTGTGGTGGGGGAAACCTAGTAGGAAGACTCGGGGGCTGGGGAGAGGCTAGGAGGGACAGGCATGGAGGCTGCTCCTGCATCCTGGGAGCACCCCAAACCAGATGGGATAGGAGGGAGAGGAATGTCAAGGCTAATGGAAAGGGGAAGGAGAAGAGGGAAGGAGGCCAGCCCATCCCAGCTGGCTGCTAGCTTTTGAAGCTGCCTGGCTGGTGATGGGACCTGGGAGACCGTCCTGTGACCGCCCCACTTTCCCGGGCTGGATACATAACCTGAGCAGGTGTCATCCTACAGAGGGTGCTTCCCAGCCTTTGAAAGCACACAATTCTGCAAACCAAAGAAACGACCAAACACCAAGGCAAGGAGGCCATGTGGAGCTCCGCAGGGCACGCCGGGTTTGTGCTCGGCCGGGGCGGGGCCAGAGACGGCTCCATGGGACAGAAGGAGGTTGAGACGCGTCCCTGATGGTCACCCAAAGGAGTGGCCCGCACACCCGTTCAGAGGGTCTGCTGTTCTGCATCTCCTTTTCCTTTCTCTTTGACCAAACGCCAGGGAGCTGAGCTCCTCCAAGGGCGGCCCCGAGGTTAACTGAGGTGCCCCCGCTGCCCCGCGGGCACTCACCGTTGCTGCACGTGTGGTTGGTGATGCACGTGTTCCCCAGCAGCGTGAAGCCCGTCTTACACCTGCTGCAGTTCCTGCTGGAGCCTTCGCAGCTCAGGCAGCTCTCGTCACACCTGCGGGAGGACAAGGTTCACGCTGCTGCTGGGGTAAGGGACCAGGCACCCCTCCCGCAGCCTTCCTACCCTCCTGCGCGGCACCCGCCCGGCAACTGCGTGAAACCCCAGCCAAGCGTCTGCACATCCTTCCACCTGCCTGACTGCACTATTGCCCTGGGGGGGGGCGGGGAGGTGCCCTCGGTCACGGCCAGTCGGCAGGAGCCTGCCCGCGGTGGGGGGTTGATGGGCCCAGGTCCCGGTGGCCCAGACTCCCTGTGGCTCACCTGGACACCTTCTTGGACACTGTGGCACCCACCCCACAGCTGGCTCCTCCAGCAGCATCAGCACATGCACCCCTGGGCATCTGCCCAGCTCGGACGGCCATAGGGTTGGCACTCAGGGACAGGCATATGGCAAACCCGTTCCCGGAGCGGGCCTGGGGGACCGCAGCGGCCCATGAGGTTGCGCGTCCTTCACAGTGATGCCGACCTCCCCCCAGGGCAGGCGGGCAGGGGGAGGCTCTTCCAGCTCCTGCCCCAGAGATGGAACCCGGGGCTCTTTCTAATGCAGAGTTCCGGGACCCCAGGGGAGGGTGGGCACACGGCGGCCCGCAAGCCACATCCCGCAGTTGTACTGCAACAGTCACTCGCTCATCTATAGATCATCTGTGGGGGCTTCCACCGCGGCAGAACTGAATGGCTGTGACCGACACCACAGGGCCTGCCGAGGCCAAACTACTGGCCACCAGGCCCTCTACAGAAAGAGGCGACCGTCCTTGCCCCAGGGCCTGCATCCGCACCTGCTGCCTTTTCTGAGTCCAGCTCCTGGTGACTGGGTCTCACCGCGCTCCAGCCTGCCGCCCACCTTCTCCGCGGATGCCCGCCGCAGGTGGAACCGCCCCGGAGGCGGAGCTCAGGCCGGGTGGGCGGGGCATCCGGAGCTGGAGCCTGGCTCCCGCCCCTCGGCCCTCCGCGGCCCAGTCTTTGCTGAGGACACATGCCACCTGCCCAGTCAGCGACAAGATGCCATCAACGAGGCTCCTGTAGACCTCTCCCCGAAGCAGCCTTGGCTTCTGATTTCACCTTTGATTCTGCCTGCGTGGAGCCCCTGGTGGGTCACGCCCTCGGCCCGGATGAGAGGTGGGTTTTGTTCTTCTGGTGCAGGATGGCCCCCACACTGGAGTTCAGGCCCGCAGTCTGTATTCCTAAATGGGTAAATCCCGAAGGCAAACTTGCCCTTCTGATGTCTTCCTCCGATAGTGAGAGCTTGGCCACCACTCCCCCCGCACACAACCTGGAGGGGAGGGCGGGGCCTGCTCGGTGGGACCCTGTTTCTGTGCACTTTGGGGAAGCCGCTAGGGTCTGGCCCGCCCCCCCCCCCCGGTCCTGCTGCGCCTTGGGGGTGGCCCAGCCACAGACCCGATGCCACAGCACAAGGGATGACTCCCCCTGGGGATTCCTGGCTTCTTTTACCACCACCCCTGTAGGACCAGAACTAGGGCCTCACCTCACTCTTCAATGGGGGATCAGTCCTCTCGAAGGCCTGGGGCCAGCACGCCCAGGCTGTGGCTGAGGGCTGCTTCAACGTAACAGTGAGTGGCGCGTGCTAAGGTAGAGGACCACCTGCTTGGATTTGGAGAAGTAAGCCTTCTTCCACCAAGCGCAGGGGTCTCCCTGCCAGCCCCAAGTGGGAATGCAGGTGTGTCAGTCTTCTATGGCTGTGTAACAAACTACCACAAACCCGGCAGCTTAACACAGCACCATTCAGTATCTCCCAGTTCTGCAGGCAGAGAATCCTGGGCAGGCTCCGAGCAGCTCCCGGCTTGGGGGCTCACAAGGCCCAGGTCAAGGAGTCGGCTAGCCTGGGTTTGGATGTGGAGGTCCCAGCTTAGGGGAAGAATCCAGCATCACGCTGTTCCCGGGGAGGGATGATGCCCCTCCAGGTAACCCCCCCGCCATCACCACCACCAACTGCCTTGAGGTCCCTGCTTCTCTGAAAGACCCTCTTGGCTCCCTTCTGCCCCGCAGGTAGTCCTCTTAGGCAGGGGGCTTTCAAACACCTCTGGCTCTGTCACTTTCTATGGTACCTGCTTCCCCCACAAAACACCACGGCCGCTTTGCCCTGGCAAACTCTGGAAGTGGGTCTGCCCACTGTAGCCCCTCTTCCCTTCTTCCCTGCTCCACTGCAGGGGCCAGGTCTTCTTCCTTCCGTTCGCCTTTAGGCTGTTCCGGGTGAGAGTCAGCAAGTCTTCCCACACTTCAGTCTGAGCACGGAACAAAGCAGAAGGCAGGCCTGAAGTCTCTGCCCCACTGATCACCCAGGAGGGACGGAGGGGGCGGAGGGGGCGGAGCACAGTGGGGAGGCCTGGGGGCATGAGAGGCTAACCACCCCCAGGCACGTACCCCACCGAATTGCCTCTGTCTTCAGAGAGGTCCTTGCTTGCTCTTCTGGGTCCTCTTACTAAGCCTTGGGGGTGTCCAGGGACTCTTTTGAGATCTTTATCATGGACTCTTTCCACTTTGGGCCTCATTTCGCGGGTCTTCTTGGCATCCTGGTTGCCAACCCAGCAGGCCTGATTCCTGGCCTGGCTTTTCCACGGAGCTGTCCTGGACCCACCAGCCAGGGCTAGCCACAGCACCACGCAGCATCCCGGGGCCTGGAGGAGGCCAAACCCTAAAAGCTGCACAACCAAGCAGCCAAGTCTATTCTTTCAGGGGGAATCCACATGGAAGGGATCTTCGGAGTCAGGGGACTCCAAAGATGGAAGCTTCCCCAAAGGCAGGCATTTCACCACCTCAGCTCCTCCTGGGGGAGTATCTCCCAGATCTGCTGTATGAGCCCCAGCACTGGACTCCCCTCTGGGCCTGGAAGCTTTCCCTCCTGTGGAAATGAGCACCCAGAAGCTGCTGTCCCCTAATGTCAAGGAGGGGCTTGGGGGGCTGCCTACCTCCCGCCTCCTGGGCTGGGGAGGCCATAGTTTCTGGGTGCCCCACGGGGGGCTGGTGGCCACACTCATGGGGATGCCCAACATCCTGTGGGATCCTGGGCATCTGATGAACGAAAGTGATTATCACTGTTTAATTCCACATTCTCCCCAGGCTGCTGTACTTAGTGTAATTACCCTCGAACCAGCAGACTCGTTAAAATGAAAGGCTTACTTCAGATACCCATGCCGAGGACCCTACACAGGACTCAGCAAAGCTGGATGAAGGTGGCAAGTTTCCTATTTCAAATCAGCTCAAAAGAGGGGGCTGACTCCTGCCCAGATACATAACCCCTTGGGACCTTCTTTGGTGAGTCAAAAAAGTACAAGGACTTGGTGGTCTCTCATTGGCTGACTGTAAGGTTTTTTTGTTTGCTTTTTTTTTCTTTTCTTTTTTTTTTTTTTAAGATTTTACTTACGGGGCACCTGGGTGGCTCAGTCGTTAAGCGTCTGCCTTTGGCTCAGGTCACGATCCCAGGGTCTTGGGATCAAGCCCCGCATCAGGCTCCCTGCTCAGCGGGGAGTCTGCTTCTCCCTCTCTCCCATTCCCCCTGCTTGTGTTCCCTCTCTCGCTGTGTCTCTGCCAAATAAGTAAATAAAATCTTTATTTACTTATTTGACAGAGAGAGAGAGAGCGAACACAAGCAGGGGGAGTGGCAGGCAGACAGAGAGGGAGAATCAGGCTTCCTGCTGAGCAGAGAGCCCGATGCGGGGCTTGATCCCAGGACCCCAGAACCATGACCGGAGCCAAACGCAGATGCCTAACCAACTGAGCCACTCAGGCGCCCCGCTTATTTTTGTTTTAAGAGAATAAATTAGAACCCAGAGCGGTTCTTAAACACAGCCTGGGGAGGCAACCCCACTGTGTGTCCCCATCTGTGAGCCGGAAGACAGGGCAAGGTCTCCCCAGCCCTGCCATAGTATGCGTCTCCAGGGTTCCCTAGTCTTGAGTTTATTTCAGAGGGAAGGCCCCTTCTCCACCTCCATCATCATTATTACCCAGTCCACCTTGCACCACCTCATTATTGCTCTCACCCTGAATAAGACGGGCTGCCCTGCCTGTCCTGGGATCTAAGTTATGAAGTCCTGAGGAAAGGCAGTAACTATTCAGCAAGACAAGAGGACACCCAAACAAACGGCTTCTTCTTCCACGGCTCATGTCCAGTGAGAAAGAGAAGGAAAACTACAGGGCTGGAAGCCACCAAACAAGAATGGTGCATAACGCAGACACACATGGAAAGGAGAGTGAGAGGGGTTACAGTCTATGTTCACCGACTGCATAGGGAATGGTTTTAGAATGGGGACATTGGACCTAAATTTTCTCTAATGTAAAATGAAAAACAAAACAAAACAAAACCAACCACATGGTTTCCTTAATTACCACCAGTGTGAATGCATCCTGGGCTGTGGCACAGAGGGGAGCTCTCGTGGAGTCTGCTACAGGAGTGTGAGTACCACCAGGCAAACACCCTGTTATTCTCCCTGCCCTGACCCAGCTACAGAGCACCCGGCACTCAAAACTCATTAAATGAACAAAGGAATGAAAGCCACCGACGAACTTGTGACCTTGGCAATCACCAACTACAGGGGATCCCTCCGCTCTAAATGGGTTCTGGTACCCCACCATACCTATGGCACCCTCTACAGTGATGTGATGTGGCACCCTCCCCAGCCCCAGGGAAGAGGCCACCAGACTTGGCCCTCTGGCTGCTACTTCACTCACACAGGCAACCACCATTCCTGGCAATCCTTTTTTTTTTTTAAGATTTACTTATTTATTTATTTTGAAGATTTATTTATTTATTTATTTATTTATTTATTTATTTATTTGTCAGAGAGAGAGAGAATGCACAAGCAGGGGGAGTGGCAGGCAGAGGGAGAAGCAGGCTCCCCACTGAGCAGGGAGCCCGATGCAGGACTCGATCCCAGGCCCCTGGGATCATGACCTGAGCCGAAGGCAAATGCCTGATGACTGAGCCACCCAGGTGCCCCAAGATTTATTTATTTATTTGAGAAAAAGAGAGAGAGCATGAGCAGGGGGAGAGGGAGAGAGAGCATCTCAAGCAGACTCTGCCGAGCATGGAGCCCGACGTGGGGCTTGATCTCACAACCCTGGGATCATGACCTGAGCCGAAATCAAAAGTAGGACGCTTAGCCGACTGAGCCACCCAGGCGCCCCATCCATTCCCCAGCAATCTTGGTCTGAGCCAGGAAGACCGTCCTAAAGGATTGCGTACCTTCGGCACACTTTGTGGGGCAAGCCCGTCATCTCCTCTGGATAGAAACCTTCACCACAGGCTGACACACATTTCCAGTCTTGGAAGTGCAAGTTTGCCGCACAGTGAATACATTCTTCTCTGCTGGGCCCTGGGGGGTGTGGGACAGAAGCAGATGTCAGGGACCGCCCGCCTGTGACCACGTTCCAGGCCTGCCACAGTGCCCTGGGGATCTGGAGTACGGTCCGGATGCCCCATGTCCACCACCGCAGCTGGGGTTCCCAGGTGCCCACCCTCTGTCTGTACCAGGCCATCTTCACCCACGTCCCCATTTCATAGGGAGGGATGTGGAGGCATGAGCCAGGCTCAGCATACTTCCCACTGCCTGTGCCATGTCTGATGGCCCTGACTCCAAATATTTCCTTGCCAACAGGCCTCGGTCCTACTGCTTTTTGCTGAAGGCAGCCCTGTGTGGCTTGGAGCACTTGAAATGTGGCTGCACCAAACTGAGACGTGCTGGAAATGCAGAATCCATAACACACTGGATTCCAAACACTTAGCATAAAAACAGAATGAAAAAGTGCTTATTTTTTATATTCATTCTATATTGAAATGATAATATTTTAGGCACACTGGGTTAAATAAGCTATGTTATTATCCTTATTTCTGCCTGTTCCTCTAAGAAATTTAACATTGTATCAACGGCTGATGTGGGACAGATCACCCTGTAGGATGTGGGAAAAGCAAAGGAAGAGATTTGGGGGGGTGGATGGTGTGGACAGGAAGTCGGTGTGGACAACCAGGCCATTTTTGACAACACAGAACAAACAACTAAGGGCTTATGGAGTGGGGAATGGGAACCCCAAGAGACAAAAGCTCAGAAGGAAGGACCAAGAGGGAGAACCTGCAGTCCAGCCAAGTGGACTCATCAGCCTGCGGCAGACGTTGGTCTGGAATGAAGAAACTGCTATCCGTCTGCTCATTTGTTCATTCACTCATTTAACAAGCAGTATGCATGGGAGTCTACTCTGCCGAATGTCGCTGAGAAGCACCTGATGGGGTGTCAGAGGCAGCAAGGTGGCCACTGGCTGATAGCTTAGGGGGTTGAACATGGGGAAGAAGTCATCTTAGATGCGTATGGTAACCACAGACCCTTGTTAAACTTCTTCCTCTAATTCCACTGTGGTCTTTGGCTGAGGCCTGGCAGCTAAGGCAGTGATCTCGGGCTCTCTTCCTGGAGTAGGTTCTGGACTTAGAAGGGGCCTCTTGGCTGTGTCAAGGGAAGACCCCCTTGCAGACAGGGGTCTGCAGGGTGGTCCCACCAGCCCCAAGGCTCAGTGCTCTGGCAGCTGGTTTCATCTCTCAGAACCACAACTTTAGGCCTGAAAGGGAATTCTGAGCTCATCCAGCATTGTGAGTGGGATGCAGAAGCAGGAACCCTTAGGGGTCAAGGGCCTCCATAATGAACAACTGCCTACCCACCCATAGTGTCCATGTGGGATGTCCTCCTTCCTTCACCACAATGCCCCACAAACGTGCAGGGTTTCTGTCCAGTTATGTTATGTCATTGTGGATGGAAGACTGCTCCTGTGCTTTGGCCACCCGCCCCCGCCCCATCATTTATCTCCAAGGAGCATCTGGCATTAGCCATTTGGCCCTTGGAAGCCCAGAGCCTCAGGAGCTGTGCGGTCTCTGTGGCTGTCCCTGCTGGGGCCTCCCCTGCTGAACCCTGTTAGCCACATTCTCCTGCCTTGGTCACTAGGGTCCTTAATGCCTAAAGAGCTTCTGTGGTGGGAAAGAACCCCCGTTTGTGTTTGTATAGTTGACCCTTGACCAACACAGGGGCTGGGGCCCCAACCCCTCATGATGTCAAAAATCTGCATGTAATTTTGGATTCCCCCAAAACTTAACTACTAAGAGCCTACTGTTGGCCAGAAGCCTTTCTGATAACATAAACAGTCAGTTACCACATATTGTGTGTTATACATATTATATACTGCGTTCTTACAATAGAGTCAGCTAGAGAAAAGAAAATGGTTAAGAAAATCGTAAGGAAGAGAAAATACATTTACTCTACTGTATTTACTGAAAGAAATCAATGTCTAAGTGGACCCGCGCAGGTCAAACCCACGTCGTTCAAGGGTCAATTGTATTTATTTTTAAAAGTTCCATTTACTAAGCTTGAAAGTGGATGAAGCACATTCAGCGGGGGAAGAGGAGAAAGTTCTGGAAACGGATGGTGGTGAGGTACAATGTGAAAGACTTAATGCCACTGAAATGTACACTTAAAAATAGTTAAGATGGCAAAATGATGATGGGGATATTTTGCCGCAACAAAAAAAGCTGATTAAACACAAATTTTCAGGACCAACTATTTTCACAATTACCACAATCTATGAACTTTAGAACCCAAAGTCTCTTAAGGATTCTATTAAGTCACAAGTCTTTACAGGCTTCAGATACTTGCAAAGCATCCACAGGTCCTAACACTAAGAGCAAAATGGGGTTTGCTTACTCGGGACCCAGTACATCATTTGTGGGGTCTACTACAAAGTGAACACGTGGGATCCTTGTTCCAAACGCAGGAAAAATGTGCCATTAAGGGTACTAACATATAACATGCTTTCCTGGCTTCTGCAATCTCTCTCTCCAGCTGTCTTGGAGCTTTTATCTGCTATTGCGTGCCCTTCTCCCTTGGGCAGAGGCCTGAGGAAGGGATGCCCATGGGTGAGGACTGACCCTCGCACGGACCTGGGTCACCACCCCTCAACTCGTCATGCATGTGCTTTACCAGCTGCACAGTCCTGACCAGTGTGCCACGCCCCAGCTGGGGACAAGTTGAGCGAGGCTCCTCCCTGTCTCACGGGTCCTCTACAGCAACCCACAGCTGTCAGGCAACCCCAAGGGGTCGCATCCTCTGTACCAGGACTCTGGGTATCTGGACCAGGATAGGCAAGAGGCTTGTCCAAATGACCTGGGGCACCGCCAGCCCCGGGTGGAAACAGAAGCCACCATGGCCCACCCTGCACTTGTCCCTGACCACCACCCTGCCCATGACCATGCCCTTGTATTGGTGATGGGCAGCAATGATCACTGAGTTGGGGCACGGAGGGGAAGGCTAGGTGGGTGGGCCTGGGGCTTCCAGGGGGTGGGGAGCTGACACCTAAGAACAGCAACTTCTGACACAGACTCCCATCTGACACGTAGCAAAAAACCTCCAGGCAACTCAGAGCAGAGAAGTAGGTCCTCTCCCAGGGAAGCTGCCAGGGAGTGGATGCGTGCGTGTCAGGAGCTCAGAAGGAAGAAGCCAGGCGGGCAGGCACATGGAGGAAGGGAGACACCCCCTATCCCCCGAGACAGCCTGGCCCCGAAGCCCTTGAATTAAATGCCTGAAGTGACAGAAAAGTCACTGGGTTGAGATAAGAGAAACTATGAGCATCTCTTTAAAGCTGTTTGCCAACTGGCAGCCTGGGGCCACGGAGAAAGAAAAGTAAATTGAATTATTGCAACCAAAAGCGGTGTAAAGGCACACTTCTGAATTTTATGGATACGGTGACTCTGAAATTTAGATAAGTGACATCAGCGATGCTCCTTGATCAACCTGTGGGCTAAATAGGGGGACAAAGGAAACAAAGAATGAGAATGAGAGCAAAAAAAGTAAGAGGGCAAATGGCTAGGAAAACAGCTGAACTGCCAGGGGTGGGGAACGCTTCCAGATGCTGAGCTCCTGCTACTGTGGGGTGGTCCCAGGAAGGCACATCCCCTGCCGGCCCTGGCCACCGCCTCGCTTCCTGGCCACACCTGGAAAGCACAGCTGATGCCCACGTGGGGCTCACATGAGGCTCAGGAGGAGACTTCACCTGTAGTGTATCCGAGCCCACAAAACTCATAATGCACTTCAACATCTAGTGCAAATAGCTCTGCAACAGGAAACCCCATAAAACGAGCACATTCTCTGCTCTTCTGCATGAAAACGGTGCCTGGGCGACATCTGTGCTAATCTCTTTGTGGGGAATTAGAATACACCTAAAATTGTTTATAGAAGCCTCTTCCTCTTTGAGCAAAATGTTCAAAAGGAAAGCTAGGTACAAAGAAGGAAGGCTGTGTTTTTAGAGAGCCTCCTCGGCTTCACCACCGGAATCTGCCCCCACCTCTCGGAAGCTTTATATTCTTGCCTTTCTGCCGGCAGGGCTGAGCTCCAGGCAAAGCAGCTCCTGAGCGGTTCGCTTCCCTCCGTGGCCCCCAGAGCATCCGCCGCCTGGCTGGGCTTCTCATGCCAGGGAAACCCAGGCTGGCTCATTCAAAGTGAGGTCTTATGGTTTTTCTTTATTTTGAATTTTTAAAATTGTGAGAGAAGGAATAGAGCATCAGATTTACCGTAGTAACCATTTTTAAGGGTACGGTTCAGTGGCATGAAATACATCTGCGCTGGCATGAAGCCGTCCGTCACCACCATCCATCTCCGGAACTTTTTCATCTCCCCCAACTGAAACTCTGTACCCATTAAACACTAATTTCCCCCTTCCCCCTCCCCCCGACTCGGGTCCCCTGGAAGGGCCCCTGTGATCGAATGTTGTAATACCCAGCGAAGCCCAGGGAGTCTTAGGGTTTTCCTGGCTTTGAGACAGTTCACCCAGAGTCAGTGACCCAGGTTCCCACCGTTGGGCATAATGAAAGCAAGGCCCCTGCAGGTGATAAACTTACCCACACAGGTTTGGCAGGTGTGATGGCATTCCCCACATTTGATTAGCTCAGAATCAAAGTAGGTGCCCGGTTCACAGTCTGGAATGCAGCTGCCCCGTGCAAGGCTGTTGAAAAGAAAAGAAAAAAAAAAAAGAAAGCTTGTTTTCATACCCCTTCCAAAATTCTAATGAAATTACGATCTGCTCTCAATTGCCTTTCATGAGAGGAAAGGAAAGTTGCTAAAGCACGGCTCTTTGTGTCGCTTGAGTTCCAAGCTAACGAAAGCAGGGAAAGAGTGGTCCTAAGCCAGCTCGAGGCCCAGCAGGAAGGGATGCCCTGGACCCAGAAGCCCCAGGTTCCATCCCCAAATCCCCGGGGCCGAGTCCTCAGGCTCTCTCTTGGTCTGCGCTGGCTTCTCTTCACCGACATGAACCAAACTGGAAGCCAAACCCCGAGAGGAGAAAGTGAGCTTGTGTGGGTCACCCCTGGTGGCAGGCTGGCTCAGTCTGACCAGTCCCAGCCCTCCACGACGTGTGAGCACTGATGACGTGTGAATGGGGGTGGCGGTGGCCAGACAGGTCCAAAAAGCCCGATCCACGCCTGACTCTACCCTCAATGTTTTGAAACCTTCGGTGCCTCACAACGAACTGGAAATCAAATCCGCTCCTGGGTCCTGACAGGCCCCGCCTGATGCCGTTCCTTCCTTCCCGGCTCACCCCGTGGATGCCTACTTCACCTTGCTCACGATGCAGCAGAACCTACGAGTGCGTGGACTCTGGAATCCTCTCTGGAGCCGGACTGCCCATTCCGGGATCCTGCCTTGGCCACTTCCTAGCTGTGCCACCCCGACCCCGGGTAAGCCAGCATGGGCTGTCCCCTCACCTGTCTCCTCTCCCGTGCACTGGGACAACCATGGCTCCCGCATCGGAAGGCTTGTTTTGAGGACTAAATAAGCAAAGACTCATGAAACCCTGCAATGGTCATCTGGCATACGGTAGTGTGTCTGCTACGAGGATTTCTGCAGTTCGCAAGATTACGCTGCGTTTGAAGCACACGTCGTAAACTGTCTGCCACCAGGTGCAGGGGACAAGTGCTCTGGCGTGTTTGCGAGATCCAGAGAATCCTGTGTTTCGTGGGGAGGTGTCAGGGGGTCTGGAAGCCTCTCTGCATCCATGGCGGGTGCCGGCTCGGGGCTCCAGGGCCACCGAGACTGGCAGTTAAATCCAGTCTTTAGTAACTGATGTCTCCCCTCGATCCCTTCCTGCATTTATCCCCTAAAGAGATGGATGGCCGCGAGTCAGCAGCTCGGCCGCTCTCCCGCTTTAACGTGACAGTGATGATTTGAAGCCATAGCTTAAAAGGATATTGGGCAATAAAAGGAAGCTTTCTGTGGATTATGGCTGACAATGTTTTCCGAGTTTGCATGCCTCTCTGAATGCTTGTTGTGCCTGGAACCGCTGCTTCCATCTGGGTGGCTCCTCCTTGGTGGGCATTTTCTGTACGTGACCCTATTCCTGACCTGAGCAGCTGACCTCCTCTCTCCCACAGGACAGGACCCAGAAACCAGCTCCCTGGGACTCCCCCAGTGCTCCCAAGGCAGGAAACAAGTTCTAGTGAGTTGGACCCACAGAGCCTTTCCCCTGCCTCCTCCCAACCGCTGACACCTGCCTGGGGTTTGGGAGCCCAGGTGGGAGGTGCCTGTTCGGGGCCCCCAGCTGTGGCCCCCAGCTCAATGCCACCTTTCCCCTTTGGGGACCTCCTTCCTTGACCACTTCATCCCTCCACTGTTAATACTGCCTTGTCCAGCCAACAGGTTTACAGGACCACGGGCGTGATGTGTGACTCTGGGGGTCCTGCTTCCCTTGCCTCTCTCCAGACTCCCAGGAGCTTGGGCCGGGGACCTGCTTCTCTTCTGATCTTCCTCTCCCTGATCTGGAAGAGTACGGGCAGGCTAAGGGGGACCTCATGAAGGCAGCGTCATTGCACTTCCTGGGCAAACAGTTTCTCTCCCCAGTGAGTAAAATGGGAGTAATATTATCAATATCCTAGGGGCATCTGGGTGGCTCAGTTGGTTAAGCGTCTGCCTTCGGCTCAGGTCCTGATCTCAGGGTCTTGGGATCGAGGCCCACGTCACGCCTGCTTCTCCCTCTGCCCCTCCCCCTACTCACGCACTCTCTCTCTCTCAAATAAATAAAATCTTAAAAAAAATAGTATCTATGTCCTAGGTTGCTGTGAAGATTTAAATGAGGCACTATTTACAAGCATCTGGAAGAAGGGCTTGTAAAATTGTTCTTATCAGTACCTACTGCAAAAACATTCCGCTCTACTGGTGAATTTCAGTCCTGGCAGCATCCTCATCATCTGGGAGCCTGTTAGAAATGTAGAGCAGTGGGCTCTGCTCCGAGCTGGCTAGACCAGAATCTGCATTTGAACAGGAGCCCTGGTAATTCCGTGCGCTTACTGCAGGGGGGAAACATCGCTCTCAAGGACCCTTCCCTTTCTTCCTTAACATGCAGACCCTGGTTCTAGTCCGTGGACTATGGGAGTGTTGATAGCATAGTTCTGAATACAATGTTTTCTAAGCTCTATACAGTAACTTGGAGGAACATGTAATGCTATGTTTATCTGGTTGCATTCAATGCAATTTGGTTGCGTTCAATGGGCTAAACAAACATTTCAAAATATTCCAATAAAAATCATTAACCCAGTAAAATGTTTTTAAAGCAGATGTGTGCCGAGCCTGGGGGGAGAGGGAAAACCAGGTATCTAAAAAGCATCCCCAGGGACCAAGCTCCCAGAGAGGGGAAGGAGATACCAGAGCTGGGGAAAAAGAGAAGGCAGAGACTAGAGAGGGAGGGTGGGCTTCGCAATGCCTCCTGCAATGGGAGGGGCACGGGAGTGGATGCTGTTACTGGTGCCTGAAAGCGGGAGCTCCTTAGAATCCTCACCTTCCCAGCAGTCACTCTGCTTTATATGGTAGGGCTGATTTTTGCTTTCACTGGTTCCCCAAGAACTGCATAAAAGGTAGAGATTTTACCTTTCCCCTAGCTTTCTATTTTATTTTATTTTATTTTAAAGATTTTTACTTATTTATTTGGAGAGAGAGAGAGAGGGAACACAAGCAGGGGGAGTGGGAGAGGGAGCAGCAGGCTTCCCGCCGAGCAGGGAGCCCAACGCAGGGCTCAATCCCAGGACCCGGGGATCATGACCTGAGCTGAAGGCAGACGCTCAACAACTGAGCCACCCAGGGGCCCCCTAACTTTCTGTTTTAAACATCAATCTCCAAGTGGAACTCTGGTTTCTAGACTCAAATCTTTATCCTGGAGGGCTTTGGGCCTCTGCTTTTATCTTTTAGGAAAAAGTTGCCCAAACTGGGTAAACCAATGACAGAAACAAACAACAAAAAAGCACACTCTGCCGTTCTTCAGGTCTGAAGGGAGGGTTTTACCTGAATCCTTCTTTACAAACAGTACATTTTTCTGGTTCATCAATGCACTTTTTACAGCTTGGGTGGCATTTAAGGCAATTTTTCTGACCTGGAGAAAAAGATGAGAAGAGAAGGAGAAGAACAGATGTGACTGAATCCTGGGCAAAGAAGACTCTGGCATTTCAAAGCGGGGTTGATAGAACAGCTCGTCACTGGTGTCAGCCTCCAGGAGGGATGACAGAGTGATCAAATAGCCAGAGGCCACGTCCAGACCGCAGGCCCACGTGTGGGATCACAGGTCTCTCGACTCTCCTTTCGGGAGTAAATGAAAGCCCTTACACAACCTCGAGGCTTTGGAGTGGGGACCGTTTCCAGACGAGACACGCTCTGCTTCTGTTTGTTTCAACCAGGACTGAAACCAGTTCCTGGCTGACTGAGCAGAGATTAATCAGGTGTAAGTCTTTATATATATATATATATATACATATAAAAAAAATAGTGACAGGGTTGGAACCTGCAAAGGCCTCAGAGCTGCCCACTGGTGCCTTCATAGGGGACCTTACTGAAGACTTGGTAGTTACAAAGACTGAGACATAAATCTAGGACGCCCATCACACCTCCTGGGGAAATGCTGGGTCACAACCCCGTGAGCATTCGCCTGTTCTTATCCAGTCTTTCCTTCTGGCGCCTCATCATCGCCACCTTGCGCCTGGGCCTGGAAGCTCAGGGCTGTTTGCTACACCCCGTACCTCCTCCTCGGGGCCCCATACGTGGCCTCACACACAGGCAGCAGCTGTTCAGCGAGGATGCTGGGTCAATGAGGGTGGCTGATTCTTGCTTTGGGAGCAGGGTGGGGATGAAGGAACCTGCACCCGGAAAACAGGCCTGGCTGGTAGCCCAGGGCAGGTGTTTGCAAAGGCAGTGAAATGCATCTTGCGAGATAATTGGTTTTTCCTCTAAAGAGATTCTGGTTCTACGGTGGCTTTACATGTCTTTAAAGATTTCCTGGCTCCTTCTCCACAGGAAGAACTGCAATGCCATCACAGGCTGGATCAATGATCCCTCCTGCCTAGCAAGGGCCTCTGTGGGAAGGCTTTGACCTACACAAATTGCCAACGTCAAAACGGTAGCTTCTTTGAACTTGAGAACTATCCTCCATCTATTTAACCCAGGCCCTGTCTTTTGCCTCTTCTGTGGCGAGGTGCGTTGGTGAAACCCTGGCTTGGGGTCCTGAGTCCCAGAGCCGCCCCATCCACCCACCTTCCTGGGCCTGGTGGAACAGCAGGACCCCTGGTTTTGCGGCTCTGAGTTCAAGTCCCACCCATGCCATTACTAGCTGTGGGCCTTGTGCCGTCTCTCAGCTTCGTTTTCTCATCTGCAAGACCAGGAAAGCATCACCCACCTCTTAGGGGTGTGGTCACTACCTGTAAAATGTGCCACAAAGACTAACCCATCTTTGCTGAGCCCAATTAACACTGGCCCGGAGGCTCCTCTTTGTCTTTAAAGGACTGAAAACCTTCTGCCCATACTTGAATCCCGATTTCAGCTCTGCAGCTCTTCCTAAGAAGGGCTTTCTCCCAATGTTGACTACCAGGTCCAGAAGCTGGTGCCAGATTCCCTGGGGAAATTCTCCCAGGAGAAGGGACCCCAGCCCAGAGAGGGGGGCTGACTCATCATTCCTATGCACACAGACATGCACTTACTTTCGTCAGCATAAAATCCAGCAGGACAGAATGTCACACAGGTGTTCATCTCCTGATGGTGATAGAACCCGCGGCGGCAGGACAGGCACTGGGTTGGGCTCCTGCCCGAGCAGGTCTCACACCCCTTGTAGCACCGGCGACAGCGTCTTGCTGCTGTGTCCCCAAAGTAGCCCAGGGGGCACACACTCACGCACTTCCTGTGGGATCAGGAGCCACAGAGAACCTTTCCAGCCCCGCCTGCCACCACCCTGGAAGCCTGCAGCACTGCTGGGTTCTGCTAAGGCAGGGCACCTAGCTGGAGAGGGAATTCTAGCTGTCCCTCCACCCCCTAAGTCAGCAAAACTCGGAGGGAAACAAAGGCCCCGGGGTGAAGGTTAAACCATGTATGCCCACGGACTTGGTGAGCACAGCTGACAGGTTCCTGAGGGAGAGGGTCCGGGATTGGATAAGAACCTCGGAATGCTTGCCTTTCAAAGTCTCCCCAGAGGGGGCGCTCAATGGCACCTGGATGATGGTATTTGACTTGGAATTTCTTTCAAAGTCTCCCCAGACGGGGCGCTCAATGGCACCTGGATGATGGTATTTGACTTGGAATTTTTAGCTCTGCGGCAACCTCACCGCTGGTGCCCTTGGGGAGGTAGTCTCGTGGGCAGGGAGTAAAGGCAGCAAGCACGCTGACTGTCTTTGCACGGCGCAGGGTGAGTGTGGCTGTGTCTGCAAGCTCGGGGACCCCACAAGGGTCACGCCCGTAGCCCTGCGTGGCCTCATGGCTGACTGGACATTCGGGGGTGGGAGCTCCCCAGGCCTGGCCCGTGGGGCTTTTAGAACAGCACTGGCCTCTAAAATGACATTTGTCTCTAGTTCCCAAGCAGTCAGCGTTGGCCTACTCAGTCTGACCCATTTCTGTTTAACAAAATGGCTAGAAGACAGTTTAGGAACACAGACACCGCCTCCGATTTCTCTGTCATGGGCGTGAATTACTTGTGTGATGAGCACAAGAAGTTACTAAAACTTATACAATTCCAAAGTAGTTAATCTCAGTAGAATTTCCTTTTGGGGGGGGTATGACATGACTTCATAAGTAGGGCACCAGGCTGCGGGGGTGCTAAGGACACAGCCAGAAACAGGTCACCTTGGTGGTACTCTGAGGGGCTCCAGGACACGCGATCGGAAGCCCCAGCCCATTACCTGCTGGTCTTCATGCTCCCCAAGCTGAAGTGGACACAGTTCAAGCACTGGTCTGCTTTGGGGCCATCACAGCCCTTGTCACCACACTCCGGATGGCACAGACCTTAAAGAAACAAGCATTTCCTTTCACCCATAGAGATGCTTTGTCAACCCAATTCATTCCCCTAAGAGCCTGGGTCAGGGCATCACAGCCTAGGAGGGGCCGGAGAAGCTTCCTGAGAGAGTGGTGGGGCTGCCGGGGCTGGACGGAGCGTCCGCCCCCACGGCAATTTGGCTACGGTTGAGAGCTGAGCCTGGCCCCGGGCTCCAGTGTCAGAGGGTCTGATGACTCAGATGGCAGCTCGAGGAAGAGGAAAAGAGCCCAAGGTAGGTGGGGACCCAGATGCACCAGATGAGCAGCGTGCGATGGCAGGAGAGAGGCCGGGAACACCCTTCCTCAGGGCATTGCCCTGCATCGGGGGGTCATGATCCCAGGACTGGCCATCGCTCCTGATTCCCAGCATGAAGGACAAAGCAACGCAGTATGGGGTGTCAAAGGCATGAGGGAAGCTGCTGCCAGGCAGTGATGATCTGACAGGAATTAAGCAGAAAAGGTGGAGAAAAGGATTCTCTCCGTGCAGTGGGGGGGGAACAGGATGGATTTGCAAGCTCAGCACCACGGGGTGCGGCTGTCCCTCAGTGGGGACGGGATGGGCCCTTTTCTGCAAACCTTTGCGGCTTCCCTCCCTCTCGGCCTCTGCTGTGGGCCACCCCATCTTCCCCCAAGTCCCCCGCAATCCCCACATTCTGACTCTGGGGCCTGCGGTGGAGAGAAATGCGGGGAGCTCAGTGGCCTCCAGCAAGCCTCATTCTTGCGGGGCTGCCCTGCGGGGGTGCCACATGGATGAGCCCATCAGGAAATGTCTGGTGCCCTCAGGCCCGGGTGCGGCAGGTCCACAGGTGTCCCGTTCACCTGGCCTCAAGAACGTGACCACAGCATGCCGAAGAACAACCACCACCGTGGTGGGACCCTCCGCCTGCCTTACCCCTGACCCTGTTTCTCCCGCTCTGGGCAATGGCTCCAGAAAACCTCCCCATGTTGGGCGGGGGGGGGGGGGGAGCCCAGCGGGGTATTATGAAGGCTTTTGAGTCTTTAGAAGAAAAAAGCCTTCTGTAAGGTTCGAGTTGTTGGAAGGGGTGGGGAGCGAGTTCAGAAGCCAAGAAGAGGTGATTTGCTGGCCACCAGCATTTCATGGGGATGTAGGCAGAGACAAAAGTCCCCATTCTCTGCTGCCCACAATGGGTCTTTGCTGAGGTGCACAAAGCCCTCTTCATTCGTCCTTAAAGGGCCTGCAGACCTTCCTAGTGTTAGACCGGGTTTATTTTGCTTCCCTCCCCGAAGGTTTACTGTTGTTGATATTTCCAAAGTTTTCATTGTGGGTCCCACTGTGAACCCCTTTCAAGGCTGCGTTCGTCCCTGCGAGCATGCTGGGCTGGGCTGGGCTGGGGAGGGCTCTGGAGTCCATGCCTCCAGTCTGAGTTCTAGCACTGGGCCTGACGGGCCCAAAGCTTATCACTGAGCCTCCCCTCACCCCCACCCCCTTCCCCAGCTCCAGACTGTTGAGCTATTTTGCAGTCCTCATTTGATTTGATTCTTGTCTGCCTTATTCCGGGCCATCTATGGGGGACAGCCTCAGAAAGCCTTGCTGCCTGCCACATTGTTTTTAGTGACCCACTGCACTGAAGACACAGAGGAGTTGGACTACTGGGCTCTGACCTTCCCACCCAGCCCCTCCTGCAGTGGCCCCGAGGATATATCACCTTAAGGACCACTGCCTTCCGTAGTGATCTCTCCCCCAGAAATCCAAGAGAAGCAGCAGGTCTGTCTTGTTTGATAAAGTAAACAATTTCTTCAGTCTTAAGGAAATTTTGGGGGGGACAGGGAGGAGAGAGGACAATTTCCCCACTCTTTCCTGGCATGGGAGACAGGAGCTGCAGGAAGCGGGATCTGGACTAGGGTGTTTATTGCTATAGTCCCAGCACCTAGAAAGGCGTTTGGCATAGGGCAGGTACCCAATAAACATTTGCTGAGTGGCTCAAGGGTGAGAGAATGGATGAAAGAAGAGTGGGTGGGAATTGGGAAACATCCACAAACAGAATGTTCTACGATGTCCCAAGAGACGGATAGACTTGGGAAAGGTCTGGTTCATACTGTGTGGACTGGACTTCACCCTCTTGCTCCCTCCCAGGGCCTCTCTGTGGTAGAGAGGTTAGTTAATAACCCGAAGGGAGCCCCGTGCAAGGATGGGGTCCACCCAACAGTGAAGGCAGCAAAACCCAACCGGGCGTCTAGCTAACCAGCCATGTGCAGCCCCCAGTGAACAGCTTGGTAAGACACTGCTCAAGGCAGGACGCTTGGATGCATATCAATAAGCACCCTCTAGTATGGCTGTTGACTTGAGTTGTCTCAAAAAGCCCAGTATCAAGATTCACCTCTCGAGGAAGTGTTCTTGGATTCAATCTACTTGGCTGGCTGTCTTATCCCACTCACTCCATCACTCCTAAGATTGCATGTGTTTTTTTCAGAATGCTGTAGCGCATTCCCTGGGTGAGCATGTATTCCCAAGGCTCCACATACAAGGGGAGTGTGATTCACGCACTGACTAGCCGCAGACTCCCATCTACGGGGTGTTAGAATGACACAGGCTCATTTGGAATCTCTACCTTAAATCTTTTGTGAAGAAAATCCAGGAGTCAAAAAGCCCCACAAACAAATGTTAGAAAGCAACCTTGGAGTTCCAGAAGGCCTCTGTCATCAGGTGGTGCTTAGACCAGTATCTGGAGGAACGGGAGGACTTGCTCATCTGCATCCTTCCCCTGCCATTCATGTTGTCCAGGAAAAGCATGCTAGAACCTCACTGGCAAACCACTGGACATGAGGCGGAATGCAGGGACAGAGGTGGTTGACCGCAGACAGGAGTGTGGACGAGACTAATAGACCCCTTTTACTGCAGGTTGGTCTTCCCTCCTGACAACTTGGGACCCGCGCCTCGGCTCTGCCAGGTAGGCGCTGAAGGGCCCTAAGTCTGTCACCCGACACAGTCCTGCACTGGACATGGCACACGTCCTGCGTATCAACTCCCCTGTGCCCATTGAGCTGCCCTGGAAAGTGTCCGGGCCAAGGCTTCGGGGGCTCCTGGCTCCCCTCAGTCCTGACTGACTACACTGTCCCGAGCCGTCCTTAGCCCACGCACCCTCCCTTCCTGAAGCTTGGGCTTCCCTTCATCTTCATGACCTTCTGTTCTTCCCTCGAGGCCGCTCTCCTGGAGCAGCCTGAGCACCTCCCCGGGGCCTGCCACCATCCTAGCTCCGCAGCCCCACTACCTGGAATCACCTAGCACAGTCTCCGAGCACCCCCAGACCTGCTGAATCCGCCTCTGGGGTGGAGCTCTTCAACCAAGCATCTGAGGTGGGTCACTGGGGTGGCCTCACTCGCTGCCACGCCTGGTGCTCTCCAGTGGCCTCCAGCTCGTGTCCAGCAGGCAGGCCATCACCACAGGCTCTCCATCTTCAGCACCTCAGCCACTCATGTTTTCTGGGCACCTTACCCAGCCACGCGGCTACTGCCCTACCTTCCTGACGGACCCCCCAGCCTCCCGATCTCCCAGCCCTACCCCCTCAGTTGGATTTCCACACCTTCGTTGACCTCAGGAACCACAGACTCCACCACTACCATGGATTTCCACTTGCCATGGCCCAGGGGACATAACCTGTGGCCACCTCCTCTGTCCCTGTTCCCAGGGGCAATGTTGGCTGAGAATTTGACCGTGGTCTGTCTGCATTATGGCCGCCCTTTCCCAGGACGGTTCTCCTGCTCGCTCTGGTGAGGCCCCAGACACCTCACACGGGAGTCTGGGAGGCTGGACTCTGCCTCTGCCCCTTGCTCCTCTCCTCCCCTTTACCTCTTGTCCTCGGGAGCGCTGGCCCCCCCATCTCTGCCCCCAGTGCAGTGCTGTCTAGCGCCCCCTGTTGCTGTCTCCTGGGACCACTGCTCCGTCAGACTCCCCTACCCCTTCGTGAGGCACAGGCCCTTGGTGGGGTACCACCAGGCTGTGCTCATCATCCCCATGCACCTCTGTGTCTGTGGCCAGCTCTCCGTATTCTTGAGAACCTTCTCCCCCGTGCGACCACCCCTGCAAACTCCTGCTTCAACCCGCCCTACCTCTGCTAAAACTGCAGAAAGCTAATAATCATGGGGCCACTTCAAAATCACCCTCTCTTTCCCTGAGCTTCGGTACTGGGGCTTATCTGTGACTGAGCTTCCATAAGAGCCATGGACGAGCAGCCCCATCCCACAAGCCCTTGACCGCGGTATCTAACATGGATGCTCCCTCCTCCTCCCCCACGCCCCCCTCGCCCTTCTCCTTCTTCTCTCCTCCACCCCCCCCTTCTCTCCCACCACCCTCCACACCACAGCACCCTCCTGATCTCACCCCTCTCCCGCTCTTTCCCTATCTCTGGCTCTTCCTGCTGGGACAGGCCTGCCCGTCCCACTTGCCCCTTCCCTGAGAGTCAGGAACACATCTTCTTCCCACGGAGACACCCTCTGTCCATCTAGGCTGGGCTTGGGCAAGACTAAGTCACTTGGGTTGCAGGGCAGTCTATTTGTGAGATTCCAGGATAGTGTAAGGTTAGAGTCAGTAGCAGATTTTAAGAAAAAAAAAAAAAAATCAGACCTTTATTAATAATTACTGAATCTTGCCACCACTTATAAATCACAGGGGGAAACAGAGCAGATTAGTCCATCCATAATTCAATGCTCCATTTTAAAGGGAGAAGAAATTTAAAATTGAATCAACCATAATTTATGCTCGATATGTATCAGTGGAATTCTCTGTTTTGTTACTTTTCTTTTTTCAGAAGCTATTAGATAACTCAAAACATCAATATCCTTAGATATCACCGATCATTTATCAAGCAGCTGTAATATTTAGCTCAGGGAAATATGCCCAACCAGAAACACTCGGTTTGTCACAAATCACCATGGGATGGTTCAGAGGCGAAAGGGACCTAACAGGCTAATCACAACTGTGCCCAGCCCAGTGGCTGGAAATGTCTGAAGCCCTTCTTCCCCAGGCTGCTGTCTCCAGGAAGGGGGTTGGAGGTCTAGAGCCAGGGGCCCACTGCCGACAATGGAGAAGAGGGGTTCCCACAAGGCATCTTTATTTCCTGTGAGATGCTTAACCTGTTTGTGGTGACATTGGTATCTACTGACGTAAGGTCCTGAGACCTTCTCCTGGGCCATCATCCCAGCCTTCAAGGGAGGTCAAGACCTCCACTGCTCACTCCTTTCCTGGCTATGTTCATTCAACCCAACCCTTCCGGGCCCATTAGGACCCACATCCTTCCCACCTTCTGGCTGTAGGGACCCAAAGTGGATGGACTTGAGAGGGTCGGGAGCCTGAGACATGAGACGAGAGATTTTGAGGATAAGACAGGGCCTCAGGAGGAGGCTCATTAGCCAGGGGGCAAGTCCCAGTTCTGGTTGGGCATATAGAACCTTCTGTTTCCCAGCCTGGGAAGGTTGGAGAATACTTACTGGCTTGAAGTATACTTACTGGTCTGTAAAATATTAGGAGAGCCGTGGGTGGAAGGAGCTGTGTGAGTGCAAATTACCATCATTATTACAACCTCCAGGAAAGAAGGAAGACCCACTGTCATAATCCCCAACTTTTGCCAGGAACGGTCCCACATTTTAAGAGCCGCAGTAGAAAACCAAAACTCAGGCTGGCCTGGCCATCTCCTCTGGCTACAAGTTCATTACCTGTGTAGTCCTCTTCGTCCTCAGGAACCTCGGTCTGGGGTGGTGATAGAGCAGCCTTGGGTGGCTCCAGCATGGGGGCCGAGAGCTCCAGCATCCGAGAGCGTGACTGATGGGAGCTGAAGGTGTTGTAAGGGTGCTCGGCGGTGCCATACAAGATGAGGCTCCATTCTTTCAATTTCCCTGAAAGGTACCCAAGCCCAGACTCACTGGACAGCCATGAAACCTCCCCCAGAAAGCTCTTGAGGTGCCTGGCCCAAGGCCTTCCTCCCTCCCTCACAGAAGTGCAAGGTGCAGGGCGCCCACTGCAGGGCTCCGCACCCACCACCTCCCTTCCTAGTCACCTGAGGACCAGGGATGCACCGCGACTGCCCGGGCCATGTTCCCTGTCCCCCAGTCTCACTGCAGCTCCCTTGACTGGCCTCCTCTCCTTCTTGGAATATCCAGAGAACAGACCTGGGGCCTGGCCCTGAGCCTTGCCCCATCTGCTTCCAAACGGGACAGCTGGGTTACACCAAGGAGTCCTGCTATTAGGAGCCCTCACCCCGGACCCACAAGAAGATTGGCCTTGGGCTCCTTCCTGTGTAGCCGGCCCAGGTGAGCAGGGAAGTGTGATGGGGTGACAGTAGTAATGCAAACCCAAATGTCCCCAGAGGCTGGGTGTAGGGAGGATGTCCTCAAAAATGGCAGTACGAATGTCACAAACGCCAGACTATGTGGGGGGAGGGGAGAGGCATGGGGAGGACAGGCTACATGGAGCATATCCAGCCATGTGCAGGGCAGGGTATGGAGAAGGGGGAAGGCAGGGACCCCAACCAACTGTCCACCTCTGCGTGGGAATGATGGCCCGTGTTGCTAGCTCTTCCCAGGCGTAAAGAGAAGTGAGAAACCTCAACTGCAATTTGCCCATGAAATCCACAATGTTAAAAAAAAACGCATCAGAAGCCAAGTTAGACAGGCATGGGGGCCAGCCCAGGTGCAGGCCACAGGTCTGGCCTTCCCTGCTTTACTCTTGTGTCCCTGGGTGGTCAGAGCCGTGAGATCACGTAGAGGAGGTCACTGCTGTCCTTCTTGTGAAAATGAGGGGCCGAGGTCCGGTGTGACCAGCAGGGGACATACTGCTCATGCTCATGGACTCAGCGTGGCTCCAGCCCAACACACAGTCATCCAGCTGCAAGCCACATCGAGGAACCCTCGTGACCGGCCACCGGGACCCAAGCTGGGGACAGTGGCTTTGGCAGCTCCATCGCTGTGTCAGACAGAGACAAATCTCTGTTTTCCTCTTCATTCTCTATCACTGGGGTTTTTGGCCATCAGAATGCTTTAGGTGAGGGACATGAGTGCTCCGATTCTTCGCTATTGATGTGTGTTTTTATTGTCACTTCTGCTCCTATTACTCCCCTTCTTGGCTCTGCATGGCAGGCCATCTGTCCTTAGATATCTGTCTATACACTATTTTTCAACATGGGCGGCTCTGCTGGTATAACTTGATCTTTTGTTTGAATTCCAGGAATATCTTACTCTCCTGAAATCTTAGAACAGGAGGCTCCTGCTTGCCCACAGACTCCAGAAGCCTATGCGCTGTAATCCAACCTGTCCGAGGTGCTACGTGGAGGCCAGAGGCAGAACTGGTCTGCACGTACCAGGCCACACTTGGGTGCTGTTCTAGTGGTGTGGGATGTTGATCCAGTTATACCATGTGGCACACAGCCACACCCTACCCAACTGAGGTCCCAGGCCCCTAAAGCCTGCAGCCCTCAAGCTATCCCAAGTCAGGCCCTGCATCCACATGGGTCTCTCCAGGCCTGGCCAGGGCTGGAGGATGGAGGTCCTTCAATTTGCAAACACATTCCTGAGCTACTTCCTAGGATGCTGAGGACTTCCAAAGGGCCTGGTTCTTCTAGACGCTCCATGGCCATTCCCCTAACGTGTTCCTAACAACAGGCCACACAGCTGATGGCACCACGAGAAGTACTTGGCACGGGTGCAGGTGCAGAAAACACAGTCCCCGGTTATGAATTATCATCTGTTCTCAACCTCCAAAGACCAAATTAGAGCCAGATTTCCAAACCACACAGGAGCTGGGCACGTTAACTGCAGGGCAAGGAATTGATTAAGGGGGGAGCATGAGGACCACACGATAGGGAGCAAGGATCTGTAAGCTGTCATTTGAGGCCAGATCTGTTTCTACCCTGTATCATGTCTCCAAAAACACCCACCAAGGGTGTTGCCACTAAAATTAGATTCGCATTTTCAGATACATCTTTGGTAGGACAAACAAGAGAGGCCACTCTGAGCTCAGGATCAGCACGCACCCAGCAGGGGGAGGGAGAGTGGAACGAATTCCAAGAAACCAAGACAGTAGATCCTAAAAGTTCTCATCACAAGGGGAAAAAAAAAAATCACATTTTTTTCCTTGTGAGTGTGTATCTATATGAGATGATGGATATTAACCAAACTTATTGTTTCTGTAAGTGTGTAACTATTTCACAATATAGGTAAGTCAGGTCATTATAATAAAACAATAAATAATAAAACATTATAATAAAACAATAAACTTGTACACTGCTGGGTGTCAGTCATAGCTCAATAAAACTGAAAGGCAAAAAACAAAAAGAATTTCAAGAAACCAGCAGTAGGAACTGCCTTGGGGGGAGGCTAGGGTTCAGGAACAGAAAAGAGACTTCATTTTTACTGTATTCTCTTGGGGACTGTTTGATTTTTTTTTTTTTAAAGCTTCAGCATATATAATTTAAGAAGAAATTTAGTTTAATGAAAAAAAGTGGTTGTATAGTCAAAGAAAAAACATTTAAAAAACTGTGGTACTCAGAGCTTTTGGTTTATGTTTCTGAACAAGTAATAAATACGAATAGCTCAAAATCCAATGTATAAAAGGGAATACAGCAGAGTCTCCCTCCAGCCCCATCCCCTGGCCACTATCTCTCTTACCACAGGCGACCCCATTACTTGTTTCTCATGTAACCTTCCAGAGGCATTTTATTCATTTTTTAAAAATATTTTATTTATTTGTCAGAGAGAGAGAAGGAGCGCACACAAGCAGGGGGGCGGCAGGCAGAGCGAGAAGCAGGCTCCCTGCTGAGCAAGGAGCCCGATGCAGGGCTCGATCCCAGGACCCTGGGCTCAATCCCAGGACCCTGGGATCATGAACTGAGCTGAAGGCAGTCGCTTAACTGACTGAGCCAAGCAAATATGAGCATATATTCTGCCCTGTCCCCTTTATTAACACACCTGGTAGAACCTTCCGCTCCTTGCTTTTTCCATTAACCATGCATCTTGGTGACCTTCCCATCACTGCATCAGAGAGATGCTGAGTCATTTACTTAACGGTCCCCAAATGATGGGCATTTAGGTTGCTTCCAGTTTGCAATTACAAACAGTGCTATAATCTTGGTCACATGAGGAGGGAAGGGATCCAGGGAGGCAGAAAGAGGTCCCAGTGTGTGGCTAGGTCCCAGGGCTGACTCCCTCTATGCTCACCATCCCCAGAGTCTGCCCTCAATTTGGGGAGATGACACACATGGGTATAGAAAACCATGGAAAAGTAGAAGGAGAACATATCTGCGGCGGGGCTGGGGGGCGGCGAAGGGGCGAGCTATGCCGGACGAGAGACTGGGTCCACCCTCAAAGGAACTGCCCTGCAGAGGCAGGAGGATTTAAAAATGTCGGCCTGCTTTGGTCAAAGCATTTAACCAGAACGTATTATTTACTATTCAAGACACTCGGCATGCCTGCTCAAGTTTGCCCTGATAAAACCCCAACCAGTACCATTAATTCCTTAATTTCCAGGAGGCAGTGGGTGGGGGGGGTGGTCTTCAAAGACATTCAAATCCAAATTCTTTGTTTTTCCTTTCCATCAGATTCCTGAGACTGTAGAAGAAAGAATGACAAAATCCACCTGCTTATTAACCACTTGGGGCGGGCACTGCCAGGACTCTGCCTCCAGATGTCACCAGCAAAGCCCAGGCAACAATAATGGTGTGACAGGCGGACGGTAATCCTGGCTAATGCCAATAAATGGCTTTATCATCATTCACTATCTTCAGTGCAGCGTTTCCCCTCGAAGGGTTGAATTGGTAATGAACAAACAGGATTATTCCTATTATTCAAAGGAAGAACCAGCATTAAGGGAGACTAGGGTTGGATTTGCCAATAGGAAAGTACCAGCAGTCATGAAGCTTTTCTCTGCCCGGCATTTTGAATCAAGCATTAGGAATGCTTGAGAGGGGAATTTACAATTGGAGACAAAAGAGGGTAGAAGTGGGGGCAAGGTTTTGTTAGGCTAAGGACTCTGAGCTAATACTTTCAAATTCTTGTGTTTTCTTTGGCCATAAGAAGTTATTAACAATAAAGAATGTATTAATCCTCCCCCCACCCTTATATTGAAAACATACAGGGAGCAATTCTCTTTAGTCAAAACGTAGTAAAGAAAGAGGTCTAAAAAAAAAAAAAAATCAAGAAATACTTTTCAGTCTCACCCCCCCCCAGTGGAAGTTTTTTCTTTGTGAGGGCCAGGGAACCTGACTTACAAAGTTTACAAAGTTTAATGAAGAGGTCTTGGTGGAAGGAATAAAAAAGGCTCACCTCCCTGTTTATAAAAATATACAAAAACACTTTAAAGGGGGGATTTTATGGTATGTGGATTATATTTCACTATATTGCAATAAAGCTATTATATGAAATACACACAACACACACACACACACACACACACGTGTATTATACACACATGGAGAGAAACCCCAATATTTACTCAATAAATTTAACACATAATTAAAAATGCACTTTAGGTCCACATTATGGCAACAAAGATGGAGGAAAATAAAGGAATATAGGAAATGATCTGGAAAGGACGAGTGTACACATGTGTGGGCCCCCCCGTGTGCACGCGCGTGTGCACACACATGCACACCTGTGCGTGCTCGCCCTCAGAGCCCAATGTGAGACAGGGAGATGGGAGAACCTTCTCTATGATCTTGTAGTCATAAAAACCATTCAAGATGATATTTTCAGGACCAGGAAAAGGATCTAAGAATCCAAGCTCCAGCCTTCATTTAGGTGAAGGGTAGAAACAAATCTACATTTGGCGAAGAACAATCGTCGTCCTGTACGGCAATGCAGAAAAGAGCATTTTCCTTAATGGCACCAATAAGGTGAGATAGGAA